CAAGAGAAAAAATCATAGATATATTTACAGAATTTTCTAAATTTAAAATATGCGTCCTTACTGTTTATAAACATAAAAAGATCCTTGTATTCAATGTTTTACCGATTTCTGTAGTTCTGGAAGATTGGACATATTCAATATGCAGGAATCCTGCATTCTCTCTCTCCACACCCTGGATCGTCTATAGATCGTATTCGATACAGAAAATCTCCGAAGTTTCCACGATTAGTTACGAATTGCACATTGTAAAAATCAGCTCCATCTATCTTGAATGTTATCTACCTCAGAGATCTATAAAGATAAACTCCACAAGGCATAGGTACACCATGATAAAGCCAGTTCCTCCCATAACAAAGTATATTTTATATCACTTTACCTGAAATACCAATAAGAGATACTGCAATATTAACAAGCCATCAATTTGATCAGCAATGAAGAAATCCAAGTAAAACCTTCTGTCAGCTCATTAGAATTTTGTAGCTTTAGACCTAATAAAATAGAGGAATTTTTTCAATCGTAAACCCAGAATTCATGGAGGTTTTAGGAAGTGCTCAACTAAAAATAGAACAAAATAATTGTACGAGTATATGAAGAATATATCGGTCATTCAAAAAATATATGTTCAGATACATATGCGGTAGAACTACCTCCCTGTAAAGGACAACACCTAATTGCAGAACCAAAGTGTTCTTTATGGAGAGGGTGTCCTCTTACCCGAGAGTTACTGAATACAGTAAAACCTCCCTGTAAAGGACAACACCTAATTGCAGAGCCAAAGTGTACTTTAGGAAGAGGTATCCTCTTACCAGAGAGTTACTGAATACAGTAAAACCTCCCTGTAAAGGACAACACCTGATTGCAGAGCCAAAGTGTACTTTAGGAAGAGGTATCCTCTTACCACAGAGTTACTGAATACAGTAAAACCTCCCTGTAAAGGACAACACCTGATTACAGAGCCAAAGTGTACTTTAGGAAGAGGTATCCTCTTACCAGAGAGTTACTGAATACAGTAAAACCTCCCTGTAAAGGACAACACCTAATTGCAGAGCCAAAGTGTACTTTAGGAAGAGGTATCCTCTTACCAGAGAGTTACTGAATACAGTAAAACCTCCCTGTAAAGGACAACACCTAATTGCAGAGCCAAAGTGTACTTTAGGAAGAGGTATCCTCTTACCAGAGAGTTACTGAATACAGTAAAACCTCCCTGTAAAGGACAACACCTAATTGCAGAGCCAAAGTGTACTTTAGGAAGAGGTATCCTCTTACCAGAGAGTTACTGAATAGTAAAAATGGTAATTTTGACAATGAAAACTGTCCTTTGTAGAGAGGTTTCCGCTAAAGGAAGGTTCTACTGTATATATATCTGTGTTACTGATATTATTTCAATAAACATCTTATTAAAAAAGAGTTTCTTGTAAGGTTTTTTTTAGTTAGTCGTGCTTTCGAATATTTCGACCCCACTGTAGAAGGGCATTGACTTTAGAATTGTCTTTACAATCTTTTACAATCTCTCAGATCTTGTATGTAAATAAGATAGGGTTGCTAGAGACGATCAGAAATGGTTTGTCATCCTGAAATCTGGCTCTCTCCATCTGACTAAACTAACACCACCATGTTTCGTTCAAGACAACGCATACGGTTTTTTTTTTATTATTATCCCTAGTACACGTGGTACCGGCCATGATAATCATGGTGGGTTGAAGTTGGTGACTACTTTTACTGTAAGTGTACCACATGTCTACATATGTGAAAAGCAGTTCGACTTTGCACTTACAAATGTGCCAGAGCTTCGTTTGATTACTTGCACTCGCTGGTGGGGTTGGATTTTTACAAAAATCGGGGGTCATTGGAGCATTTTTTTTTAATCAGAAAAAAAGTGTCTAATGCGGGAATCGAACCCGGGTCGTAACGGTCGAAAACCAACGGGGTTTGACCATCCTTCTACCGACCCCCCACATACTGACGTATGACAATCCAATTACGATTACTCCGTTAATACGGTCGGGTTTTAAAGAAATCTGGTGTAATCAGGAAACCTAGAACACCTCCGTGCAACTTTCAGGAAATTGGCTGGTGCTTGCGTGGGTGCCATTGGCACAATCTTCACAGCGTTAACGTATCCTCTCCCGGTTTAACGATATTTTTTATTGTGATTTCATCTCAAGC